TCGGTTCCAGGCCTTCTTCCTCAAAAGAAAATTTTCGGTTTCTTCACTTTCCAAGCTCTGCTCATTCCAGAGTTCTTCTAGATCAAGACTTCCAACTGGAATCAAAGTCTTCCTCTCTAAATTCCCCTCTCCTTCTTCTGACTTGGATCCGAGCAAGGGGGAAATTCGAGTTTAGGGTTTCGGCGATTTAAGGTCTTCTTTCCCTTTCAAACTTCAAGAACTTTGGGTAAGTCTTTTCTCATTGCTTTGATTCCCTTACATTGATTTTTTAGTTAATATTGTGAAAAATAGTTTAGACTCATACTCTCATTGGAGTATGAATACAGGTGTCGAATATATCGAAAAATATCCGAAAAGAGGTTCGAAATGCATATGAATTATCCCCGGACCTCTCCACACGAGCGAGCCCACATTTCGCGGCCCACACTCGTGTGAATCAACAAGATAGGATGGGTCCGGTTCACTTAAAACTTGGTTTGAGTTGGTTCGAGGCAGATGGGTTCGGTCCAACTTGGGTCCGGTTCACTTAAAACTCCCCCAAAAACCCGATCTCCCCTCTTCTCTTCCTTCTTTTCTTTCTTTCGGTTCCAGGCCTTCTTCCTCAAAAGAAAATTTTCGGTTTCTTCACTTTCCAAGCTCTGCTCATTCCAGAGTTCTTCTAGATCAAGACTTCCAACTGGAATCAAAGTCTTCCTCTCTAAATTCCCCTCTCCTTCTTCTGACTTGGATCCGAGCAAGGGGGAAATTCGAGTTTAGGGTTTCGGCGATTTAAGGTCTTCTTTCCCTTTCAAACTTCAAGAACTTTGGGTAAGTCTTTTCTCATTGCTTTGATTCCCTTACATTGATTTTTTAGTTAATTCCCCAAGATTTAATTCAATGATTGAAAACCCTAGTTCTTCAAATTGGGGAAAAACCGAATTTTGATTGATGGCAGAAACTCTTGGTTGGCCGAATTTTTTACTGTTCATGGCCGAATTTTGAATGATGGCTGAATTCTGTCTTCAATTGTGTTCCTGGCTTGATGTTTGAGAGCCTAAATCTTCAAATTTTGGGGGAAACCGAATTTTTTGAGCTTTGAGGGTTGATGGTGGCCAAAGAACTTGATTTGTTTGAGCCCTTAACTATACATGGCCGAAATTCTGGACTGTTCATGGCTTGTGTTGGCCGAAATTTCTTGGTTGAGGGTGGCCGAACCTTGATTACCTATGGCCGAAATTTTGTTGAGATTTTGGTTGATGACTTGATGACTTAAATCCATAGTTCTTTGAATCCGTACATGGTCAAAACAAAATTCGTTGAGCTGTTTGAACTGTACATGGACGAAATTTCGTCTTCGTGGTTGATGATTATGGATTTGAGTCTCGAACTTATACATAACCCGACTCTTGACCGAATTTTTGTATGGTTTGAACTTGCATGTGATTTGATTTCGAATTTGCATGTAGTCGAAAATTTTTGTATGCTTCGAATTCACTCTTGTATATGGCCGAAACTTGAGGGGGCTTTTGTGTAAAAAGATGGACTAAACTTTGAGGGGGTTATGTGCAAATTTTGAGGCCGAAACTTGAGGGGGGTTATATGTAAAAGAGGGCTACAATTTGAGGGGGTGTATGTGTAAATTTGGTTCAATGTGGTTTGAGGGGTTTATTTGCAAAAGAGCAACCCACAAAGTATATAGGGGGTTTATTTGCAAAAGGACTGGAATTTTAGGGCTGAAATTCCAAAAGTTTAGATCACAAACCTATGACCAAAGTTTTGATAAAAGCATGTGGAAACCAAACCGAAATTTGTGGAGGGTCTTTTTTTAGCAAAATTGGCTAAATTTTACAAAAGGGTTTATTTGTAAGATTAACCAAAATTGTGGGGTACTGGGGGTGCTATGTGATCAGGTATGATGACCATGACCCAACTCGAGCGTGTCCTTGACCCGAATTTAGCCTTGAACACGAAGAGTATTTTGGGTATTTCATCAAAATTTACTGCGAAGATGACAATCATTGTTTCGCATGCACGAAATTTGTAGGTTTAATTAGACTTCAACTATAAAATCCTATTTATACACAGGATTTTAATTAAAGTTCTTAATTTCCCTTTTAAATTTTGTGTATTCATACTTTAGATTGTATCTGACTTGCTACTTTTCATTACAGGTTTCCGATGTCTCCACGTCGACCTCGACCTCCTAGGAGTCGCTCCCGTCCGCAGCCTAGCGAGGAAGAAGTTCCTACAGCATCCTCCCCTCCAGCGGTTTCCTTTTTTGGGGGTGGGAATTTTTTTATTTTTGTATCCCCGATTGATCCCTTCGCGGGTCATGAAGGAAGAACCGACACCCTCCTTCGCGGGGGTCGAGGTTTCGGACTTGGTGGTTTTGTCATACCCTCGTTTGGCCCCTTCGCGGGTCATTCGGGAAGGGCCGACACCCTCCTTCGCGGGGGTCGAGGTTTCGGACTTGGTGGTTTTGTCATACCCTCGTTTGGCCCCTTCGCGGGTCATTCGGGAAGGGTCGACACCCTCCTTCGTGAGGGTTGAGGTTTCAGACTTGCCTTGCTTGTCTAATTCAAGTCTTCTGGTATATTGGGGCGATTTTGTGTCGTCCTACACCTTATAGGTCGGTGTATGTTACCACGTTATTTACGTGATGATGCATACCGTTCTTCCTGTGTAGGACACTCAAAATCGTCTCTCCAATTATCCCGTGACTGATTTTATCTCGCTTTTTATGAGCTTTCTGACTCTATCCTTGCAGTCGAGTTCCCCGCGGGCAGCCTTCCTCCTCATGCTAATACTGGTTGTAGCCGGGAGGTCTTCTCTTCAGCTTCCATCAGGCAGGCCGTTAGTCCACTCCCTCAGTTTGACAGAGATCGCTCCGATGAATCCTGTCGTTTGATACGGGATGGAGGGCGTCATTGCTTACGCCAGCTGATTACGGACGCCTCCTTCACTGCAGATTCTACTTCCACTCAGACTTTAAAGAAGCCTGGTTTTCTGTTCGAGGATCACGCGGAGGATCCTGCTACGTTGACTCTTACCGAGGAGCATTGGCTGAATCTTCATGAGGGAGCTCTCCTGTATATTCCCTCCATTCCTCGTCAATATTCTTTCACCCATTTGGAGGGACAGGCCGTGGAGCGACATATGTCTTGGCCTCTTACCTATGATGCTGAGCGAGTTCAGTGTGGATATACCTCTCATCATAAGATTCCTGGTTCTACTGGATATCATGATATCCGTGGTCTTCGATCAGGGATTATGGGTCTTGACACTGCACCCCCAGGCGAGGTATCAGCAGCTGCTCCTACTGTGAAGAATCATCTGGCTCATCTTGGGAGAAGGTTACCTCCACCAGATTACAGATGCTATGGTTAGGCTTTCTCACAAGCGAAGGGATGGTGGACACGCATGACCAGTTACGTTTTGGGGCGCTGGGAGAAGGATTTGAAGAGCAGCAGATTGTATGCACCTATACGGGCCACCATGTACGGACTTCCGGTCAGCTGCCGCCATTTCTTGGCGTTGTTGGAGACATACATGCCCGACAGTAATACGTTCATGACCAGCGGCGGAGAGTTAGGGTTGGCCTTACATGAGATGTATCAGGTTTCTGGTCTTCTAATGGGGGATTGTCCATATCAGGAGTACTTTCCATCGAACCAGCAGTTGGGGTGGTTGAAGAAGGATACTCCCGACATGCATGATACTCTTTGGGACATCACTTGTCATTATTATACCTCCTTGATCAAGATTTCTCCTCCAGCGAAGAAGAAAAGGCAAATCAGCTTGAATGGGTTTGCTGTCTATCTGTTCCCTAATTTGGAGGATGACTCCGGCGAGCCCCTTCGTGAGTTAGATGTCCTGACCCCTACCGCCATTAATGAGTTGATGGAGAAAGCTGAGGCTCATTATTACACCATTGCCCGTGCTGAGGGAGCTTTTCCTGCAGGAACCAAGTTTCGTTCGTTCCTCCGCCGTGCACAGAAGTCCATCGAGCCCCGGACTCTGCTAGCAGGCTACATTGCCCTCTGGTTGAAGAAGTGTGTTGTTCCGTACCGGTCTTTAGACGTCTTACCTCTCGAGGTGCTCTTCCCCGCAGTTCAGCTAGCTTATGGGAGGGAGCTTTCACTGCTCCCAGCGATGGTTGCCGGCATCCATTGCGGGCTTAGGTATCTGGTCAGTGGTTTTACACGGGTGGGTTCTAAACCATCGACCGAGCTTACTTGTCCGAAGGTTGAGCTTCCTTATGCGTATCTGATGGCGTGGCTCGTTCTTCACCGTCCTGACTTAATGTCGGCGCCCAGCGTTGTTGATGTCCCTGTTCCTTTCGTGCAGCTGTTGGAGAGGAGCAGATGTGCGACGCCCTTCATGACGGTTCTCTGGGTATCGATCTAAACATTGATCTTGGACAGGTGAATAGTGTTGAGCCCACCGTTCCATATTCAGGTATATCTACATCCGATGATACCCTCCTCAAACATGGGGAAAGAGAATCTTCTGTTCTTGCTGCAGGTATTTCTGAGCTTTCCCTTCTTCCTTATCTTCTTATACATATCTCCAACATTTTGGTTGTCCTGCAGATGTCGCGATGGAAAAGCCAGCTGAGGATCAGATCTTTTATGATGTGGGCTTCGAGGAACAGAGGTGTGCCTCTGTACCAGGTTCCTCGGGACCCGACGCTGGATTATTAGCCGATATGTTGGCTGAGCAGGCCACCAGAAGAACCGCGGGACCACCCTTTGAGAGTGATTCATTCACAGGTATATATCTGATTCCCTTCATCTTGCCTGATCTTTTGTCTGACTAACGAAGGATTAATATTACAGCGCCAGTCATTGGGATTAACCCAATATCGATTCCCGGCATATCTAGCTTACCTCGGAGTGACGGACTTGCAGGTACGCATACGATTTAGGGACATCGTACTCCTCTTTATTTATCTGACTTTTGACTAATATATGGGTGCAATCATAGGACCAGCCACCGAGACTGATACTCTTATGACTCTTGGCATTCCCCGGATACCTGAGGATGATGGACCTACAGGTATGCAGATGACCTTATCACCCCGATCCTCCTTATTTGTCTAAATTTTTATTTTGACTAATAAAGAAGTGCAACTATAGGACCAGCCGTTGTGCCTGATGCCACTACAGTTTCTGGGACTGATAGTTTGCCTGAGAGCGGTGTTTCCCCGCCACAGCCGAGAGGTATGATCGATTTGCCTACAGGGGTTGATATATCCTCCATGACTACTCCTGCAGTTACTTCGGAACCTGTCGGATCTCAGCCCGAGGGGACCTCCGTTGGCATTGGTATGCTCGGAATTTGCCCTTAAGTTTTCTTATCATATTTGATAATCTCTTAGCCTTCCACACTGTTACTTGCAGGATCTCGATCATCTCTATATGAGCATGTTCACGCCCTCTTGGCCGATACCAATCCTGACAGAGACATTTTCCGTACAGACCTCGGCTTTTTTACCGCCTTTTTTAACGGCAGCGAGCTTCGATCACATGAGCATTCTGTTGCGCAGCTGATGGCTACCGTGGCGAGGAAGGATACAGGTAGAGCCGAGTTACTCAGCTCTTTGGATTCCGGCCGTGAGGAAGTGGCTAGATTGAAGGAGGCCTTGAGGCACGCCGAGGAGTCCGTTACTCTTATTGCAGAAGACCTGGCTGGATTAGAGCGTTCTCGTGAACAGACGCTCGAGAAGCTGGGATCTACACAGGAGAGATTGATGAAGCTGAAGAATGAAGCCGCGAAGATCTTAAGCAGTTCCGAAGACTCTGTCCGAGCTAGTCTGCAGGCAGAACTTGAGCAGAGCTATGTAGACAGGCTTTCTAGTTTAGAGTCCCATGTTCTTAGCCGTCAGTTGCCTTCGGGCTAACGAGCTTTTTATTATATGCTTTTGACTTGATCTATTACTAGAGACTCCGCATTTGCTTCTTTCATGATATTTTTTTATTTACTTTGAACCCAGCAATGATAAAATTTATAGGATTTTTGGCAAACCCCCAGCCCTCAACGGGTTTGATATGCCTTTACCGATTACCGTTTGAATCGGGCTAGTATGCGAATTGTCTAGATCCGTTCCATATGTAACGTTGTGCTAAGAGAATTGCTTTTCTTAGACTTAATATTATGCCTTTGAATACATAGACTTCACCATTTCTTATAGGGAAAAGGTACCCCGCACCGCGTATTAGGCGATGACTTATCCCTTCTTAGGCTTCGGGATAAAATTCCCCAAGTTTAGACCTTGGTGTCTTTTTCAATCGGTGAAAGACTAAACCGGCAATGTGTGTTAGACATAGACTTTGGGATTTTTGGCAAACCCCCAGCCTTCAACGGGTTTGATGTGCCTTTACCGATCACCGTTTGAATCGGGCTAGCATGCAGATTGTCTAAATCCGTTCCGCATGTAACGTTGTGCTAAGAGAGTGAATTCTCTAAGACTTTGTGCTATGATTTTGAATACATAGGCTTCGCCCTTGTTACGAGAATAGGCTACCCGGCAACTCGTGTTAGGTGTTGACTCATCCCTACTTAGGCTTCAGGATAAAATTCCCCAAGTTTAGACCTTGATGTCTTTTTCAATCGGTGAAAGACTAAACCGGCGACGCGTGTTAGGCGTAGACTTATCTCTATTTAGGAGTTGAGATAAAATTCCCCGTGCACAAAAGTGCACGAATTGGAAGTTGGGAATTGTGTCCTTTATCAGAATAAAGATGGATTGGGAAACGAGAGAGGAAGAATTTTATATTCTATCTCCCGGGACTGAAGAGGAAGAATTTTATATTCTATCTACAGTCAGAAAGGAAACTCAAGGTGGGATCTCCACTCCGAGAATCGGAAAAGTTCAAACGGCCCTAACTTTTATAGGATTGGTCATTTGAATCAAAGAATCCCTTATTTATTGAGGGGAAAGCCTAATTTCAACCCTAACTTTTATAGGTTTGGTGGAAAAAGGAACAAAGGCGGATTTTCGTTTATCGAAAAGGAATGACTCGGTCTTAGCCCTAACTATTTGTAGGCTTGCCTAAGTGAGATCGGGAACAATCCTAACTTTCATAGGTTTGATTGTTCAAACTGAAAGTGGACCTCTCGTTCATGAAAGGAATCGAGAGAGGAATTTGGCTTTGGCCCTAACTTTTATAGGTTTGACCTGGAAGCAAAGAAAGTGGAATATAGGTAGCAAAGAAAGTGCTAACTCGTATTATCACTCAAAGGAAGACTTTAACGCTAGGCGATTAGGACCTAACTTGCTGAGTTTGAGAAATGCCAATGACTGATAGATGGAAATTTTAGTGGATCCACCATCAATTGGTTTGATCAACATATGGTTTGGTGAGGAAAGATTAATCCATCAAAGGACTAGATCTCATCTCACAAAAATAACTCATGAGAGTTAGAGTTTGACAAGAAGAAACATTTCGGCGTTCGGAATTCTACAATGACTGGGTTATCCCTAAGAATACCCATGTGATATTCTTCCGGGAACTTCCCAATACATTGGTTATCTTGAAGATACTAAGGATAGTATTTTTTCAGGAATTTGCCATTTATTGGCATCATAAGCCGGTCACCATCCTTGGTGACTAAGCGATATGCGCCGCTCGAGTAAACTGTCTCTACTACGATTGGCCCTTCCCATTTGGGTTCAAATTTGCCCTTCTTCTTGGAATTAAGGATTATAGGCCGCCTTTCAGCTAGAACCAAATCCCCTTCTTTGAAACTCCTTTGTCGAACCTTTTTGTCGAAGGCTCGAGAAATTCTAGCTTGGTAAAACTCAATATGTTGTTGAGCTTCCAGGCGCTTTTCATCGAGCCTCTCGAGTTCTTCGAGGCGTTTCTGATGTTGTTCTTCGGTCATCATCTGGGTTGCGAAGGCAATTCGAAGTGACGGGATTTGAATCTCCAAAGGGAGAATAGCTTCACATCCGTATACCAATGAATATGGGGTTGCGCCAGTCGGTGTGCGCACCGTGGTACGATAGGCCCATAGAGCCGCGCCGAGCTTGTCATCCTAATCCCGCTTGTTATTCTTCACGATTTTTGACAATAGTTTTATGATAGTCTTGTTGAAGGCTTCAGCTAATCCATTTGCTGTGGGATTATAAGCCGTTGACGAGATATCCTGAATTTTAAACTTTTCGCAAAACCTTATGAAGGCGTTGCTGACAAATTGAGGACCGTTGTCATGTATGATTCGTCTCGGAACACCATACCTGTAGATGATATGGTGCTTGATGAATGCAATGACGTTATTCGTTTTAACTTCTCTGAGTGGAACTGCTTCAGTAGATGATATGGTGCTTGATGAATGCAATGACGTTATTCGTTTTAACTTCTCTGAGTGGAACTGCTTCAGCCCATTTGGAGAAGTAATCGGTAATTGAACTGCTTCAGCCCATTTGGAGAAGTAATCGGTAATTGTCAGGATGAACCGGTCACCTTTGACTGATGGGAGATTTATAAGGCCAACAATGTCCATTCCCCAAGTCTCGAACGGTCATGACGTAACCGAAGGATGCAGATGCTCCGGATGTTGGTGCATATAATTCCCATGTATTTGACATGCATTACACTTTCGGGCATATGTGATTGCATCACTCATCATGAAAGGCCAAAAATATCTCATTCTTCTGATGCGGTCATAAAGCATGGGACCAGGTTGGTGTGCGTCACACTCTCCTTCATGCACCTCCCTAAGGACCTCTTCAGCTTCCTTGGTTGATAAGCAACGTGCTAGCAACCCATCGTACCCCCTGCGGTATAGCATTCGATTCTCCGTATTATAGTAGAATCTTGGTGCTCTTCGTCTGATTGACTCTCTTTCCTTCACATCTTCTGGCAAGATTCCATGCAAGACATAGTCGATGATCAGGAAACGCCAATCTCGTGGTTCGAACTCGACTTGAGTAGCGTGCACCTCCTGAACCTCCTCTTCCTTGGCATCTTCATTGTAAAGCGGTACTAGGAGTTGGTGAGTTCTTACCGTAAAAAACTGCTCTGCTTCGGGAGGTTGTGCCAGAGATACGGCCAATGCTGCTAACGCGTCTGCATAGGTATTCTGTAGCCGTGGAATATGTTCGATAAAGAATCCTTCGAATGATTCTACCATCTCCACTGCCATCTTATGGTATGGTATTAAATCTTGGCTTCGAACCTCGTACTCTCCTTGAACTTGTTTAACTATCAGTTGAGAATCGCAGAAGGCTTCGAGATACTCCACCCCCAGTTCTTTAACAAAACTGAGTCCTATGAGTAATGTATTATATTCGGCTACGTTATTTGAGCACGGTCCAGTCAACGAGTAAGCTCGAGGCATCACGTGTTTTCCCGGGGAAACTAAGACAACTCCAACTCCGGAAGAAATCTTAGAACTTCCAGGAGCACTTGCAACATTAGTTGCTCGCGAAGCGCCGTCGAAGTATAAACGCCATACTTGTTGGTGTGAAGTCGCATTGACTTCGTGGGTTTCATCGGGTAGGTCGTCATATATCTCGGCGGTATCTGTAGTTGGATTGTCTGCCAGGAGATCACAGATGGTCTGTCCTTTTACTGACTTCTGTTGTTTAAAATGCAAGTCTTATTGGGACAAGAGTAAGGCCCATTTTGCTAATCACCAGCTCACGGAAGCTGGTTGAGTCATGAACACTCGTACTGGGTTAACTTTAGAGATAACATAAATGGTCTGTCCAACCAGATAATGCCGCATCTTCTGAATAGCAAACACCAAGGCGAGACATTCTCTTTCAATCATAGGATATCGAGATTCAGCGCCTACCATGGTTCGGCTTAAATAATAAACAGCCTGCTCATGACCGTTATCATCATCTTGTGCAAGTAATGCACTCAATAGAACGGTTTGCCCGATTTTGGTGCAACGAGTACAGGAGGTTTCGAGAGATATTCTTTAATACTCTCGAATGCCTTTTGACAAGCGTCATCCCATACAAAAGATACGCCCTTCTTTGTGAGGTTGGAGAATGGTTGGCATTTTCCTGAGAGGTTCGAGATGAACCGAAGAATATAAGCTAATCGCCCTTACAATCCTCTAAGCTCCTTAAGGTTTCTCGGAGGTTGCAATTCATTAATTGCCTTTACCTTATCAGGATCGATGTGAATACCTTTGGTGATAACGACGAATCCCAGGAATTTACCACTAGACATTCCGAGGAAAGACTTGGTAGGATTCATCTTCAATTGATGGGCTCGCATCAAGTCGAACATGGTCTTCAAGTCCTTAATGTGATCTTTTTTATCACGACTTTTCACGACCAAATCATCTATTTAGCATTCGACAGTCTTTCGGAGATGCTCCTGAAAGATCTTTGACATGGCTCGCTGATATGTAGCCCCTGCATTCTTTAAGCCGAAGGGCATAACTGTGTAGCAGAAGACGCCGAGAGGCGTTCTAAAT